TTTGAACATGAGAATTACACTCTGTACAATGAGTTGTCTGCACCGAAAAGAAACATAGGACTGTGTCCAACCGAGAGAGTGGGGACTCCCATCCCCCATGGGGTTCATGATGGGGCTTAGGTGAAAGGGTTGTGAGAAACCCATTGTATTTTTCAATGTGCTTTTTAATTCCAAATACCTTTTATATACTTTTCACATCTTATTCACTACTGCCATATACTCCTCACTCAATTTCCCCTTGTTAACATCTTATGTTACATAACATGGTGCATTTGTCAAAGCTAAGAAGTGATATTAATTAGAATATTACTAGTAACTAAACTCCAGACTTTATTTTGTTCAGTTTTCCTACTAACCCAGTGAAGACACCATATGGCATTTAGTTATCACATCCCCTTAGTTTCTTCACTCGGTGACAATTGCGCACTTTCCTTGTTTTTTCGTGGCCTTGACGGTTTTGAGAGGTACTGGTCTCTGAGGTGTGTTTCATAGAATACGCCTCAACTTGGGTTTGTTTAATATTTTCCCTCATCATCAGCCTGGGGTTATGGGTTTTCCGGAAGACATTCCACAGAGAAGTGCCCTTCTCATCACATATCAGCTAAGGGCTGCAGAGCACCGTATGACATTGCCTGGTGATGTCAGCCTTCAGCGCATGGTCATGTGGCGCCTGCAGGTCTCCCCACTGGGAAGTTACTGTTTTTCCCTCTCCACACTTGATCCTTCGGAAGCCAGGCATTAAGTCCACCCACCCTTAGTGGGGTAAGCAATTGAGTTCTGCCTCCTGGGGGGTAGGTATGTACCTCCATTCTTTGAAGTTCTTCTGTGAGGAAGGTTTGTCTCTTCCCCCCCTTAATTTATTTGTTCAATGTTATTTATATCAGTAGGGACTCATCTATATGTATACATTGGGCTATAATTCATTAAGCTTGTAATTTGTCTTATTGCTCAAATTGTTCCAGCACTTTGCTCATGGTATTTCATTCATCTCATACTTGCTTTCACTTTAGTGCTCTTGATCTTTTTTCACTGATCACAAATATAAATCCATTTCCACTACAACCCTTTCTAACATATTTTATGTGTGTATTATTCAGGGGAAGTTAGGTTATGCTGCAGTAACAGATACCCCCAAATCTCATTGGCCTAAAATGGCGAAGATTTGTCTCTCACTTGTGCTACCGGTGCAGCGTGGGCTGGCAGGGAGCCTGCGGGAGTCTCAGCCTCACTCAGCTCACTGGCTCACGGAGCAGCCATCGCCTGGACACCGAGTGCTTCCATCACAGTCAGAAAGGGGCGCAGCCAGCTGCTCAGGAGCCTGCAGCGCCTGCACACGGATCCGGGCCTCGCCTCGCTCCGAGGCGGCAGGATGGGTGACCTCGGGAGGAGAGAGCTAGAAACGCTTGGCAGGCAGCACTCATGACCAGCACACTGCATGTTCTTTGTTGTTTTTCCATGCAAATCCATACAGACTTAACTGTTGTTGTTGCCACCATACTGTTTTGTAACCTCCTTCAAAAAATCTTGGTCTGTCATAAACTTGGTCTCATATCTGAATAGTTTTGACACAGAGGCTTTAGTGATGGCTGTGTGGGTTGTGAGCAGCGACATCTGGCCAGAGTGGCAGAAGGAAGCTGAAATGAAGCCTTCACTCCATGATTCAAGCCCTCCATTCAGGTCCAGGACAGTTACAAAGGTGCTGTGTGGGCAAGTGGTGGCCCTTGCGACGGCCTTGGTGACCACATGCGCTTTATAAGGCTGAAGCACCCCTCCTGTGTTGGTATTTGAACCATTTCATCTTGTGCTGCTATAAATAGGATGGTGGGAACTGTTGCCCAGGGAATCCCTGGGCTTATATCTTAGGTGCCCTTGGAATAAATTACTAGCAGTGAAATGGCGAGTCGGAGGGTTAAAATGAGGTTGGGAAGGTGTCAGCACACGGCAAGTCTGTGCATGCGAAGCCGTGACATTTCTCACTGCTGAGCTCCCTCCAGGCCTAGCGCGTGCAGAGCGTGGCTGGGGCAAGGCCTGCGACTGTCATCTTGGCTCCAAGTTTCTGAGCAGGGTCTGAGGGGCTGCCTTCAGATGCTGGCCTTTCTCATTGTTGTGAGGCCACACAACTGTGGACACAAGACTAATGAGGCTTTAAACAAACAAGTGTAATGACTGTCATCAGTAGCCAGCAGGCGCTTCCTATGGGACAGCTTGGGCAGGAGGGTCACGGCAGCTGGCCAGCCCAGGGTGTCTCTGGCATGGTGGGCAACTCCAACTTAAGGTCAGCTCACTTAAAGGTGACCCTCCAGATGGGACATTCCTGTTCCCATTCCAAAGCCTGATCTGTACCCTCTAGCCAAGCCCTTCCCAGGAGGTGCTGGGAGAGCGGGCACAGCTCTTTAATCCAGCTCTGCATGCCCTCAAGTCTCCAGATGGCCTTCGTGGGCCCTTTGTTCTACTTCACAGGCTCTAAACTCTTTCATGCACAGGCAGTTGCTAAGCAAAGGCTATTTAGCTCCAATAAGCCACACGGAGCTCTGTTCTGAACGTGTCCCTGATCAACAAGCCACATTCCCTGCCGCCCAGGCAGAGCCTCTGCCCTTGAACCGACCCGAATTGCCCTCCTCCTGTCTCCACACCCTGAGAGGGACCAGTTTCCAGGGCACAAAAGGCCTCAAAGGCCAATGGGAAAGTAGTGTGTGCTGAGCACCGAGATATGCAGCGTGGAAATGCAAGCAGGGGAGACGCACCTGGGAACAGCATCCAAGAGCTCATTTCCTGGCACGGCCACTTCCTGTATTGTTGGAGTCATTTCTCCTTAGCCAGTTCCTCCTTCCATCCTCCTACTCCACTCTTCCGGACCTTCAGCATTCTGCTCCAGGCCCCTGCTCAGCTCTCCGGGGAGGCAGACCCTTACCCCCCCTCCACCCGGAGCTAGGAGCCACCTGGTGTGACCCGCCTCACTTCCCAGTGTCCCTCTTACACACGCGTCTGCAGCTGCACATCCTCAGGTCCTTCCCTCGAGCCTAGAGCATGCGGGGCCTCCCCTTCCCCAGCTCAGGTCAACCTCTGCGTGGGCTGCTGATCCCATCCTTACCTCTCTTCCCAGAGAACCTGCACCATTATGACACTTCTCTTTCCTTCGCTTTCAACCTGCTGGCGTCCACTGCCACCTCCCCGGGCCTCGCCGTCCACTTGAGTCGTAGCCTCCCTTTCACCTGTCAGCTCTGCCCCCAGAGCTGTCTTCCTTCTTCAGAGTCAAGTTTCTTGAACACATTGTCAGTACTCACTCTCTTATTTATTTATTATAAACCTCACTTAAAGATTTGTTTTTATTGATTTTAGAGAGTGGAAGGGAGAGAGAAGCATCAATGTGAGGGAAACATTGATTTGTTGCCTCCCATACACACCTGACTTGGGGGTCAAATCCACAACCGAGGTATGTGCCCTGACCAGAAGTCAACCCTGCATCTTGTTGGTGTACGGGACGATGCTCCAACCAACCGAGCCATCCGGCCAGGGCTGGCCTCTTCCATTCTTACTGTTCTATTTTGAAAGACAATATGACTTTTCCCTGTGTGGTTTTGAATATTTTTCTTCATCTTTTGTTTTTGCAGTTTTACTATGATGGAATTATGTGTGGTTGTAAAAATATTTTTCTTGTTTTATTTAGGTTTGTAGAATTTGTCAAATCTATGGCTGATGGCTTTCATTTATTTAAGAAAATTCTCATTAAGTTTTCATATTGCTCTACTCCCCTTTTGAGGCTCATGTTATATGCTTTCTCCATATTATACATGTACCTAACTATCTCTATCTTTTTAATATTTTCCATATTTTTATCTCATCATATTTTAGCAAGGGTATTTTTGCAACCTCATTTATCCTCTGTCCTGTTAAACTCACCCATAAAATTTCTTATTTTATTTAATTCATATGACAGGTTTATCATTTTCATTTGGTTATTTTTCAGAGATTCCATGTCTCTTGCAAAATTCTCCATATTTTACTTTGGACAATATTGCTCGCATTATGTTAAGGTCCATGTCTGACAAGTCTAATGTCTGGATACATGTTTATTTTTCTATTGATCATTTTGTGGGCACATCCAGTAATTCCTGCTTGACTGCTGAGCCTTTTGCATGAAGGTCTCTATTAGAAGCTCAGGTGAGGCACCGCATCCAAAGAGAACTTTCTCTGCCTTCTGGGATGCGCTTGCAGTAGGGCGGTTGCTGGGAGCTGGGTTTCAGCTTTGGGAGCCTGGTCTGTTTCCGGTCTCCCTGGGTCCCGATGGTGCAGCCTTCCTAGATCCCACCTAAAGCCCGAGTCCTGCTGGTTTCTACAGGCTCAGGCTGTGGGAAGCGTTACTTATTTCTCAGCCTTAGCCCCATGCTGCTTACGCATGGGCAACTGCTTAAAGGGGAACACCAATGCAGAAAGAGGGGCTCCTTTTTCTTTACTTTGCATTTTGGGGCTCTTGGTTCCTTATGTTCTGGGAGACGTGGTGGGCCTGAGCTCCACTTTTCTCTCCTTAGCCCCCTGAGACTCCCAGAGGCGCCGTCAAGCTTCCCTGCTTCTCAGCCACCAGTTTCTGTTTAGCTCCTCAGCCTCTTATGCATTTGCAAACTTGGAATATCTCAAGGGGAAATAAAAAAGCACAGGTATTAGGCACTGAGACCATGTCAGTGAGGGTTCCCCTCCGATACCTTGCCTCCCGAAGTCTTGGCTCTCTTGGGAGCTCTCTGCTGTCTTAAAGCAGAGCATTCAGATCCAGCTTTTCTGTGATTCTTGGGAGGAGGATTTGTCAGCTACAAGCTGGGAGTGGAAGTAACTCACAAACGTGTGTGTGTGTGTGTGTGTGTGTGTGTGTGTGTCAGCTTAGGTGAAGGTTATGATGGATGTGACCACAGATCCCGGGTCACCTCCTTTGGTGTTGGTCTGAGCAGAGAAGTTCTTACCTAACATCCGCTATCACTAAGCTGTGGCTCATTGTCTCTCTTCTCTAGGATTTTGTGTCGTGTATCGAAAACTACAGAAGAAAAGGACAAGAGCTCTATGCATCTTTATACAAAGATCACGTGCAGGTAAAACCAAAACAGTTCCTGCCTCTACACAGAGACCAGAGCCCGCCTTGAACCCCTGTAACAATCAGAAGGGCCTTTGGTTTAGGTTCTAGATGGCCTGTGTCAGTGCTTGGTCAGGGACTAGTCAGCCCGGCTAATGGTGGGCTAATGGTGCTGGGGATTTGCAGCCACAGTCTGAGCAGAGGAGGAGCTGGGGATGTGTCAGCATGGGTCCCCTCAGGGTCCGCAGGCCCCTCTGCCGGGAGCGAGGGCACACTGCAAGCAGGCAGGCCCGCTCACTCTCAGCGCTTCCCTCTAAAGGAGAGAGAGAGACACCCGAAAACTGCAGAAATAGATCATTATAACACGATGAACAGTAGACTTGGAAAACACAGGTACAAGGAGAGCTTATAACAGGGAAAAGGGTTTAATTTGGGCAGATCTGAAGGGAACTGCCTCTTAAGTGGAGATCTGAAGGAGGACTATGGACTAAAGTAGTTTGGGAAGTGTTTCTGGCGTAGGGAGGGCCTGGGCGAAGTCGAGAGGCAGGAAAAAGCTGGAGTCATCAGTGACCTGGAAGGAAAAGAAGTGACAGAGACCTGAGCTGGGAGGGGACAGGGTGGGGACCGGCAGGGCTGGAGCAGCAGTGCTTGCCCCACACGAGGGTGTTGCCTTCTCTCCTCAGGCAGTGGTGCCAGTGCCGAGGGCAGGCTGAGCGCTGCCAGCACCTCTGAGCCCCATGCCTGGCGAGAGGTGAAGGGCGCGGCTGCCACGCCCTGAGCTCGCTGTCTGACTCTCAGGTCTGCCTCCCCCTCGGCTGCCCTCTGAGCCTCAGGGCCCCCATCTTTAAGGTGGGCAGCCCTTCCTTCCTGGGAGGCGAGGGCCCTAGGGGACGGAGGCAGAAGTCCCACATGCACGTTTGCATGGCTCAGAAGCTATGGTCAGTGGGTTTTGTTAACAAAATTAACAAGAAAACAATTGCTAATAATAAAACATAATGTATAGTGTTAGAACCTTACTAATTCCAGTCGTTACTTCGTACTTGCTCTGTCCCAAAGCCTGTGCCAGGCATAGAAAGGCGGAGCTTAAATGGCACTGCTCCAGCCAGAGGGTATTTACAAGTGAAGAGCAGGGCAAGGAGTCAAGGTTGACTGCAAACAGGCGGTGAGGCCAGCACTAGATGTCCTGCACGAGGGGGGAACAGTGGTGTAGGGCCATGGGGCGTATTGGGGTGGGTGAGGGGCCAAGGAATGGTGCAACAGTGGCGCCCAAGGGCAGGGGAAAGAGGCTCTGATCAACGTAAGCCACGCTACCTGGTCTACGTTCCTCCGTATAAGCTCGCCTGGGCGTCCACAGCGCGCCTGGGAGTCTCCAGGGGTCAGGAGACGTGCAGCCTGCAGCCCAGAAATGCACATCTATCGCACAGCCACCAGGCTCGCTTACAAGTAACTGTTTGTCAGACGCAGCAGGGTTGGGAGAGGTCAAGGTCAGGTGGAAGGACAGAAGCTCAGCAGAGCCTCCAAGCCCAGAAAGAAAGGATCCAGCCTCTTAGAAGGCGGCCTGGCTGGTTCTTAGCAGTAGGCCCGACTGGGGCTCCGAGCTGAGAAGGTGGTACGGAGCTTTACTGCTGATTGACTTAGACCTGGGACAATCCCAATTCTGAGGCCAGTCACGAGGGGCTTTCCACGTGTTTAACTGTTTGCGACAGACCGTGTCCATGTTCAGTGGAGCGCTCTCATCCACTGCTCTTTTCCGCAGAGGCGGAGGTGCGGCGACATCAAGGCCGCCAGAGCCTGGGCCCGCATCCAGGAGCAGCTTTTCGGGGAGCTGGGCTTGTGGGGCCCGGCAGCAGGAGCCATACCCTGTCACCGGTGGGAGCTGGACTGGAGAGAAGGGCCTGCGCGCATGAGGAAGCGCCTCAGACGCCTGTCTCCCAGCGAGGCCCAGCGTGCAGAAGGGCCCCAGGTAGGTCCCAGGCAGCAGGGCGCAGAGGCAGGCTGGGGGGCCATCTCCGTAGCTTCTCTGTCTGTCCGGTGTTGTTTTCATCGGGACTCCTGGGGTGCTTCTGAGAGCTCTGATGTGGGCAGGCAGGGGAGAAAACGTATGTGGGGAAAGGCAGGATTGCTCTGCGTTATTCTTGATGCAGTTTAACAGAAAAAAAGAATCGTTACCCCTCGCAGGTAGCGGAGGAAGGAAGCTGTGAGTGGGTGGATGAGTGGAGGAGTGGGTGAGTGGTGTAGATCGGCACCACGGACCCAGGCCACACTGACGTCCACAGAGTCCAGAGTTTGGAAAAAGCTGGCGATGGTCACTGTCAGCTCGCACAGGTGTTTGTTGCGAAGCAGGCGTGGCCAGCGCTGCTCTAGACATGGTTATGCAAGCGCATCGCACACCTTTACATTGGAAATCCCTTGAACTCGGCCACTTCTGCAAGCTCCAGCCGGTGACCCATTTAGTCCAAATGCATGGAAGCTCACTGAGCCCTAAGCAGTGGAGTCCAGCACACCGCAGTGTGCTGTACGAAAGCTTGAACTCATGTCCTTGAACTTACATTTTTGCCTTTTAAAGGCTGGGAGCCAGTTGAATTTGTAGTGGAGTAGAAACATCTGTTAATAGATTTGTATTTCTTCACTGAACAATCCTGATTGGGATATTCTAAAAGTCAGCCTTCCAGACACTGGAACACAAGTCAGTGTTGAGTTTGTTTTCTAGTCTGTGACACAGAACCTCTTATCCACATTACATCCTTATGAAACTCAATGAAAAATTATAATTCTTTTATTCAGTAGACACTGAATTTCTAATGGATTGCCAATAAACATCCGGTGGCTTACAGTACTCTTCCTCAATGCATTTCTGAGGAAATGGAGGCAGGAGAAATAGGTGGCTGGCATGGCTCAGTGGTTGAGTGTCGTCCTATGAACCAGGAAGTCATGGTTAAATACCAGTCAGGGCACATGCACGGGTTGCGGGCTTGATCCCCAGTGTGGGGTGTGCAGGAGGCGGCCAATCAATGATTCTCTGTCATCATTGATGTTTCTGTCTCCCTCTCCCCTTCTCCCTGAAATCAATAAAAATACATTTTTAAAAAATCAGTAGCCCTCACAGCGTGCAGGTGACTAGCGAGGGCTGCCCGTGAAAGCAGGCGCTGGCCAGAGCCTCTCCGCGGGGCCTGCTCCCCAGGCCCGGGTGCTATGTAATCCCACTCTGGCATCATTTGGATAATTACTGTAATTCTACTTAGTGGAAGATTGTGGGTTTTCTCCCCTTTGACTCGGGAACATTAATACTTGCTTTTTACTGTGGTCCTCTAGGATTCAGCGTTTTCTCGCGTCTGAGTCTTGAGTATGTGATTTATTTGAAGGGGTCACGTGCATGTCTATGTGTTTGTGAATATGTGGAATGGGGGGTGCATATAAGTAGTACCCAGGATTTAATTTCTTTTTCTCTGATTTTATTTCAGGAAAGCCAGGACAGAAATGGTGATATTTCTCAAACAAATGCTGAAAACGGAGGTATTCAGTTTATCAACTATTTTATTTTAAAATTAAACCAGTCATTGGTTTTATTTAAGGTCTTATTAGCGACATGGAATTGATATCTTGGGAAGAGATGCTGCAGGCCCGGAGCAGCAGGCCGACTGTGCATTATGTGCTCCTGGAACCGAGCGGACCTGTCCCAGACCCAGACGCCCGAGGGCAGACTTTATAGTAACGTGGCCACAGTAAACATTTCTTCAGGGAATCTATCTTGTCAACTTGCTGAATCAGGGAAACCTTAAAAGTGCCCCAGACAGTACAAATACATGCTCAGTGTGTCACCCGAAACACAGGGGGGGAAAACAACAGGACGTCTTAGTATAAAAATGGTGAAATATCAATGCTTCTTACCCTGACCTCTCTGATTGTAAACATGACAGATAGAACAGTCAGTGTCGCAGCCCCTGACCACGGGGCAGGTTGCAGGACCGTGTACTGTGGTGTTCCTCCCCACACACACCTTCCCGCTTAAAGGAGGCACTGTGGCTTCTCTGTGGCGTATCCCAGTTGCCAGCGTCGCTGCCCTGGCGCTTTGAGGCCATTGTTGAGTAAAATGGGCTGATTGAGCACAAGCACTGCGACTCGGCGGCAGTTGCTCTGATAACTGAGACGGCTACTGAGGGACTGACAGACGGGAGTGGACAGCGGGGAGGTGCTGGACAAAGGGCAGACTCACTTCCTGGATGGGAGGGGCGAGATCGTAGAGTTTTCATCACGTGGCTCAAAACAGCGCACAATGTGAAACGTATGAACTGTTTATTTCTGGAATTTTTTTATTTAATGTTTTTGGACCGCATTTGACTATAGGTAACTGACACTGCAGCAAGTGGACCAAAGCTAAGTGTAGTATTTCCCAAACAAAAATCATACTTTGAATATTTTAAGTTTATGCTTACTCTTTATTTGTTTAATTTTCATGGAGGAAATTGAATGAGTCAACTTGCTACAGGTTTGCTTCTCAGAAGTCATTTTGGCAAGAACACATTCACACACACACACACACACACACACACACACACACAATGCCTGGTTTTGTGGTTTCTCTCAGGCTGCCTTGGCTCGGACACTCCCTGGAGGTGAGTGCACTGTGCCCTAGGCTGCAGCTAGTGTCACACTGTAACCAAATGACAGCTTCTTAGTGTTGATCATCTTGTCTCTGGGACCGCAGCATTGGGCTTCCTGCTGAGCTGGCTCTCTGGCCAGTTTGCAGTGTTGCCCGGAAGTGAGGATGCTGGGCTTGAGCAGGTTGATTTGGGGGGTCATAGGACTTAGGGTAACACTGCAATATCCATTTGCTTCTCATCTCTCTACCCCAAGGCCCACACTCAAAGATCAGAGTGAGAACCTGCCGCTCCCTCCTCTGGAGGTGGCTGCAGAGAGGGCAGGTGGAGGTGTGCTGACCTCACCGGGCTTCCGTCTGGTCTGCTGAGTCCCTGGTCTCTAGGCGCTCAGTCGGCCTGGTTCTCCTCCGTGCCTTCCCGCGTGGCCGTGACTGCACCGCGCTCTCCCTGCTGGGGAAGCCGGTATGGCTGCACTGTGAGCAGCAGGCACTGCCATTCACCCAGAGGGGAGAGTCCCAGGCAGGGCTGAGGTCGAAGAGGTGAGCATCTTAGCATAGAGGAAATGGCTGCAGCCCCTGGACTGCAGGCAGGTGCGCATGACCGCTCCAGGCAGGTGGACACCAGGACAGGGTGGAGAAGTCGGATCTAGAAATCCACGCGGGTGTGTGCTTAGCTGGCACCCAGTGGGCAGGCCCGGCGTGCAGCCTTAGGAAATGAGTGTGGCCGTGGCTGTGGCTGTGGCTGTGGCCGTGGCTGTGGCCGTGGCCGTGCACACGCGCGACTGCAGTGCCCCAGCTTCATGGTAGCGCAGAACCAACGAGTCGGAGAGGACTCAGGGGATCCTGAGGCGCCACACAGTGGTGTCTTGTTTGCAAAGAACTCCCAGTGGAATGGGAAAGTGCTCATGATATGATCTTGAGTGAAAAAAATATTAGAAAAGAAAAGCTACGAATGCAGTGTAATTCCTACTGTGTCAAAAATTACACAGAGACGTGCCTACACATACATGTGCAGGAAAGGTATCAACTGTGAACAGTGAGGACGATCAGCCTAGAGTCGGCGCTGACTCTGGACGGAGGCACGGCTCGGCCTCGGCCTGGGCCTGGGGTCTCGGCAGCCCTTTACCCTGCGCACAGCGCGGCCTCCCTCAGTTTCCCCATCATCAGCTGCGGCTCCGCTGCCTCTCCCGATGGAAAGTGCCCCTGCAAGTCCCAGCACAGAGAAGCATTACTGAATGGCAGCTGCTACTATCAGTACTGACTCTGGGTACACATTTGTTTTATTTCTCACAGCTTCATGGTTTTCCCAGATTTTTCTTATAATTAGAAGATAGTGCTTCCATAATTAAAACAACAACAAACACTCTGTTCAAAGAGCGAACAAAGTGAAATTCAGATCCAACAAACCCTGGCGAGCAGCCCAGCCTGGGCTCCCCTGGGGGGTCCACCTGAGGTGTCTGGCCACCCACAGCCTCAGGGTGTGTCCACTCGCAGCAGCAGCGAGGGACTCTCGGACCTGCACACCGGTCACGTCGCCCCTGGCCCTGGCCGTTCCTCCCAGCGACTCAGGCCCCACTGCACCCCACCCCTGGTGACATCGGGTGGCTCGTGCCAACACTGTGTCCCTTTACGCCACTGCAGGGGAGCTGACCCCCAGGGAGGCCGAGGGCGAGAGCGACGAGGTGGCAGCAGACTGCACCCGGCTGACCTTCTTCCCGTCCCTGCGCGAAAGTCAGCACTCCGAGGATTTCCTCGAACTGTGTCGGGAAAGACAAGTTATTTTACAGGAGCTTCTTGACCATGAGAAGGTAAGACGGCCCATCATGACTGTTCTCTCAGGACGATCAGACAGGAGCGAGCAGGGCCCCCCTCACTCACAGGCACGGTGACCACTCCCTTCCCTCTGAGAATCCAAGGAGGGCGCTGCGAGCGTGTGTCCAGGGAGGTGTGCAAAGGGACCCACACCTGCACCCAAATGCCTTGAAGGTGTAAATCGCACTGATGAACTGCTGAGTGAATGTGCTCTAACCTTTCTAATCCTGGGAGAGCAGTTTTCAGTGCAGAATTCTTGACCTTCACGTCGTCCAGCACCTCGGCCCCGCCTGCAGCCTGACCACCCGGGTGCATCCACATCATGAGGGCCTGGGGGGGCGGAGCTTGGACACCCCAGCACTACATCCGAGCTGTCCCCACAGCGCCCACCTCTCAGGCCCCGGTGAGCACACTGGCACCGTGGGCCTCAGCAGGAACTCCGGCCCCTGGAGCAGTGCCCAGGTGCGGGTGTGGTGGGCTCACGCGAGTGGCTCCCGGGGGCCAGCATTGGAACACTGCCCGCCACACTCCTATCTCTCAGGGTCCCTACCGGGTCCTCTCCCAGTTCTTTCCCTGGCTCTTCCCAGGAGAGCCTCTGGGCTGGCCCGACAGCACGCACTTCCCAAGCCTGCGGGCTGGGCGGTGGGCAAGGTCTGGAGCATTCGTCACAGCCAAGAGCGAGGCCCAACCCCAGGCTGTGGAGCAGGATGCCTGTGGCATTTGTGCTAGTCTCTGAGTCTGGCTTTGCTGACTGTCTCACCCAGTGGCATGTCTGTCAGAGGCCTTGTTGGGGGAGCAAGAGCCTGCAGCCCACAGGTGGCTCCTTTCCCAGCTCCTGGGGGTGGGGGTGGGGGGGAAGGAGGGTGGCTGACAGTGCCCGAGAGGCAGGACAGGACGAGGCAGAGGCTGTTCTCGCCCCTCCTGTCTTGTACGTGAACGTCAGTCTCTCTGGGTCTCCGTGCGGCACAGCAGGAAGCTGTCAGAGTGCGCACTGGCTCGTTGTGGTAGCGGAGCACCAGGTGCAGACAGGCAGGCAGGACCAGCCGGCAGAGCAGGAGCCGCCCTGGTCCCCCTTAGCACCGGCGCCTGTGGAGGGGCCAGCTGGGCTGGGGCTCAGCCCCTGAACGGGAGACTGAGCAGGGCAGGCCAAGGAGGCTATGCCATTGTTGCACGTGCTCTTTTCATGAGCTGTGTTCCTTCCTGTCGCTGGGCTTGCTTGTTACCTCTGGTTCCTGGGAAGTTGTGGGGCAGATAGTTCCAATTCAGCCTGAATTCCTCCAGGACCAGAGGAACCAGACCAGCCACACCTGCTCCCTGAAGAAGGGCCATGGGGTTGGGGGCAGGTGGGCGATGCCACAGGTGGGCCGTACACAGACCAAGCCCCCACCCCCTGCACCCCTTCAGGCCCAGTGCCGTTGGGGCTGTCGTCCTTGACTCATCAGTTTGTGTGGAAGATCAGAGAGGGGTGCTCCTGTCCAGAACTGTGCCCGCGGGGGTCGGAGCTCCGTGGCTGCGGCTGCTGTTGTCAAGGTGGCAGTTGCTCTTCTTTTAATGGTCCCTTTGGACTTGTTCTCCCCCTCCAAGAAGGGGGGGATGGGGAACGAACCCTGGTACCTAGGCCATGGCCGAGGGAGTAGGAAATGCCTGCCAGTGCTCACAGAGGGGCTCTCATTCAAACCGTCCCAGCAGCTCTGGCTCCAGGAGGCAGGAACTGCAGGTGAGGGAGGCGCTGGGTGCGTGCTTGCGCAGATCGGGGGTGGAGCGTCTGCCTGGGCCCGCTGTCCTTGGGAGATGTTCATGATGAGGCAGTGGGTCAGAGTGGAGCCCATGAGAGACCTGATCTGCTGGGCTGGGCCCCTCTAGGAGCTCTGTGCCCCCTACAAAATGCCACATTGTGTGGAAAAGAGGGAAGTTGCTGGGCTTGGGGCCTGGAGTGACGTGTGGTGACACCGAGGAGGCCATGAATGTAAAACCTGAGGGAGGGAGGAGCACAGGGAGGTGGCCCCGGAGCTCAAGAACATCACTGGGCCAGAGGAGGGAGTCAGGTCTAGACTAGACAGCTCCCTGTGGAGCGGCCTGGCTGGCTGTGGCACAGGGGCCTCTGTGACCGGGCCCCAGACAGCTCCCGGCCAGGTCCTTGCAGCCCGGTGCCCACCTGCTGGCTGAGCCTGTCTGGTGTGCCTGTCCACAGTGCCCTGCTCCCTCCACCACCTCCCCCCAAGGTGCAGACCTCTACTTACGTCTGAGTCTGCCTTCAGTTGCTTCAAGCAGGGCAGGCTTGGCTTCAACCCTGTCTCTCTTCTATGACATAAGCATGACATGCTCTGCCCAGTGGGAGACACAGCTATGTCAGGAGGCCACATGCCGGGCACCAGCCGGGGGAGCAGAGGGGTGGTAGGGGTCGGGGGTAGGCCACCTGCTTGCAGCTATAACCGGGGCTGCTGTCATGGCCTGGGGACCCTGGCTCAGGGGGGCAAGCACTGGGTGGAAGCCTCTTTGGGAGCAGCTGGGACATGGCTTGGCAAAGGCTGGCTACCATGGCAACTCTCCCACCACCAGCACCAGGCAGGCAGATGCCCGCGATTAGTGCAGGGCAGCTTGGCATAGGCTGAGTGCTCACACAGACTTGGGCATCATCCCGCTGGGTATCGCGTCATTGGCAACCTTGGCAGCTGGTCACCTGGAGCCCTTGCTGTGTGCTTGTCATTCAGCGTCTCTCCTAGTGTCACCTTGGCCCTGTGATGGAGGCTTTGTCAGTTCCATTTCAAAGATGCAAAACGGGGCCCTGGGGGCCGCTAACTGGAATTGCTAGGCTCCAGCTCAGGCCCGTCTCTCGCTAAGTCCATGTGACCTCACTCTCCACCGTCTCCCAGCACCCTGCCTTGGGCAAGTTGTGTAAACTCTCGCCACCCTGGCCTTCAGCACCTTCCCAGGCTGGGAGCTCCCTGTAGGACCTCTCTGGTTAGCGGTGGCCAGTCGGGCAGGCCTCTAGGTCCCTCACACAAGGGGTCTCTGCCTGGCACAGAGCATGCCCAACACATGCCAACCTGCTGGCCTGGGCATGCCTGAGAGGACAGGAGCTGGAAGCAGAGGAAGGAAGGACTGTGGCACTGACCCTGACCATGAATGTGTCCAAAGACATGGAAGGCTGTGCACGCAGGTGTGTGTGCATGTAGGGAGCTGCTCCTGCATTTCCTGGCCGACACTCTCTGCTCGTGTGCAGACAGTTTGTAGCAAGTGTTGGACGCCAGCTGGGAACACCCTAATGCGGATTCTTCGGAAACCTGTGGCGGGTGCTTTTTCTAAGGGCAGCTTGTCCAGAGAGTGTGTGTGGTGGGTGTGTGCCCAGCTCATACCCGGAGCACCTGCCTTCCCAGGGTCGCCACTAAGGTGGCCAGGCCGCCCTGCAGGGAGATCCTGGCCCCTCCTCTCAGCGTCTCAGCAACACACACATCTATCGCCTTCGCTGGACACAGCCCAGTGGGCTCCAGAGCACACCCTCCTTCCAGGCTTCTGGATAGCCTGCCCCCCGCCCCTGCACCCCAGGCCGTGGGCAGCAGCAGGCCTGAGCTCAGGGTGGCAGCAGCTCGCTCATTTCTCTATGTGAACATTGGCGCTGTGGTCGCCTCCAGCGATACCTGGGACAGTAATTGTTTTGGGCTGCCTCTGTGTCATTGATTAATGATTCCCAGAGCCACAAACACGTTTCTCTGCAAACAGCTCCATTTGCCCTGAAGGGTGGTGGATTCCGTGCATGTTAATTGTGCGCCCCAGTTGCCACTGTGCTGCAGGGAGGTTCCAGTGCCCTCCATGAGCTGCTCTGGGAATCGAGGCTCAGGCCCGACCGCAGGGTGGTTTTCACTACTCCTGTCCTCTTCACTTACATTTAAAACGGAACGTTCGCATTTTTATGCAAGCTCAGGGTGAGGTCTCGGCCTGGCCTGGGTAGAAAGGAACGGCTCACAGGGAGAGCCCTCTGCTCCGGGCGGACAGCAGAGAGCAGCGGCCACCTCAGGATTTTCACAGAGGAGTCTGTTGGCGAAGAAGTGCCTTAACCTTCCCATTATTGAACTTCCCGTCTCGGGGAGCCCATGGCGGACTTTCTAGAATGTGGAGCTGATGCGTCAGCCCTCCGCAACACCTTTAGAGATGCTCTTTGGCATATTTGGCAGATTTTGTGCACAGCCACTCCTGGGGGGGGCTGGCCCCTCCCTGGACGTGCCTCCCTCACCCTTAATTACACACACACACACACACACACACACACACGCGCCCCTCAGACCTTGCACTCTAAAGAAACAGAACTACTTATACTCTGCAAACACATTCAGCTGGCTCTAGACTTTATGCCTGGGAATGCTCCCCCATGTTTTTATCTTTTTAACCCCTTACCCAGCCTGGAGGTCCCCTCCCTGGGAACCACTTCTCTGATGTCACCTCTGTCACCCTCATCCGGGCCGAGCACCCTGCTCTGCCCCACAGAGCACCGGCAGCTGCCTGCTGTGCTGGGCCGGGACATCTGCGCCTCCATCTCCCCTGTTGGAGGCCTCCATTCCCCCTTTGCCCCCTGTGTGCCTAGGAGTGTGGGGGCACACAAGGCGCATTCAGCGCGCACGTTCAATGACTGCACACCACCTGGAGGAGGTCTGAGAGAGGCTTCCCGAGGTGAGACCTCACCTTTCAGAGCCTCCTGTTGCCCACGGCCTGTGTCTCAGGTACCGTCTCCAGGTGGCCTGCACCGGAGTCGCCGGGGCTGCCTGCTAAAGTGCAGACGCCAGGCCACCCGCACCGCTGGCGGGAACCTCTAGGATGCAGCCTGGGCACAGGAGCGTCGGCACGCACCCAGGTGGTCTCACATGTTCCAGCCGGAGTGAGGGCCCGAGGCCCGCAGGCCCAGGCTTCCCAAAAGGCAGAGCTGCCCCAGCGAGAACCGTCCTTTTGAACCACCAGCAGCAGGTCCTGCTTCATGCAGCTCACGCTGGCCCTGCGCAGGGAGCAGCCCCCGAACTCGCAGTGCGCTCACAGGGCCGGCCCCTCCATCCATCCGAGGCCTCCGCGTGGCAGGCCTGGCGGCGCCCCCAGCCGGGTCCGTGCACATTGGGCGTTTTCTGTGGAGGCGGCGCAGGAGGGCGGCTGGGCTTAGCTGCGGCGTCTGCCTGAGAGCTGAGCCGTGCAGAGATCCACGCGCTGCCTTTCTTCTCAGATTTGCCGAATCGGTGTTCACCAAACCGTTCCTCTGTATCGTTTTACCCTTTGCTTCGATTGCTACCGTGCCTGAATGCTTCATCTCCAAGTGACCGAGGCGTGAGGAGTGGATCCAGACTCCACAGACAGCCAACGTAACTCACTCACATCCTTTCTCTCCTCTGTGAGCCCCACCTTCTCCTCAGCCAGCTGTGTTTTCCTGAAAACCGGGCAGGTCCTCCCACCTGCCAGGTCACCGGATGACACTCGGCAGGCAGAGGCGTAAGAAGCGCAGGATACACGCGGGCGGGCTGACGCATTCTCTGCAGTAGACTCTGCACAGATATCCGAGGGTGGACACGTCAGCTCGGTTCTGGCCCCTCGCGTGGCAGCTCTGAACCTGGTTCCCACCTGGAAATCAGGGCGCTGCACTCACTGCAGATGCGGAGCGTGGGGAAGGGCCTGGCGCACCTGCGCGGACCTCCTGCTCGCCGACGGGCCAGCCGGGGCCTGGCTCCGGGAGGACCTGCTGTGAGGCCTCCAGGACCGGCCCAGTACAGGTTGCCCTCTGCCTTCAGCTCTGGATTTCCCCACCACCTGTCCCCGTCGCACAGGCCCGGGGTGGGCACAATTTAGCCATTTCCTAGTCAGGAGTGACGATATCTCATCTAGCCCACCTCGAAGAAATTCCACTTATAAAGCAGAAGTTCCAGTCTTTCTAAAGCGATCGATAGACAGGTGGCGTGAGAGACTTCTTAATCACGAGGAACGCGGGGTGGAGCCCTCCCAGGGCGGGTTGAAGTGGGAGAGCAGGTAGCAGTTCACTTGGGCTCATTTTCCAATTTTTAAAATGCCATATTTTTCTAGCAGAATCAATTTTTAAGCTATTAACCCAGCTCTCACCAGACATTTTCCTTGCGGTTTGGTTTATTCTCATCGTTACTGTCTCCCCGACGGGAAGCACCTGGAGACCATGGCGATGCTGCCCACAGAGGTTGGGCGAAGGCAGGCACGTGGGGAGGGAGAGGGTTTAGCGGTGCACAGGCCAGGGCTGGTGCCACCGTTCCACCTGTCACACGTGAACCTGAAAAAAAGTGTAAAGCCTGGTGTAGCCCTCCTAACAGTGCCGGCAAGAGCGTACCTGGTGCGCCTGCGGGAAGGCATCTGGCAATAGTTCCCAGAGTTTAAAATGCCATACAGGGGCCCGCAGTCCTACTTGTAGGAATTCAACCCACAGGTTTACTTGTGTGCAAAGTGACATTGTACTGATGGGCACTGCAGCAGCCTCTGTAATGTCAGAACATTAGAAAACAGCCCAAAGGAAGAGGGGATTGCGCCGCTACCTCCGAGTGCAGCGCACCCATTAATAAGGTGGGACAGCCCCAGAGAGACTTGGAGGGTCTCCAAGGTGGGCTGTTAAAGGGAAGGCAGAGCAGAACAGCAAGAAGAGCAATACGCTGCGTGTGTACAACGGGGCCGTGTGAAAAGCGTGCCTATGATTTCACAGAAGCTCCTCGGAAGAGTATCCATGGGAGGGGCACGCCTCCCCTCTGCCCTCCTATCAGAGTGTCCGGCTGGCCTGAGGGTGGAGTTGACAGACACAGCTTAACAGGAAAAGCACACCAGTTGATTTCACGTGTGCACGTAGCCGTCGCAGGAACACGGAGCCTCCGAGGGCGTAGGCGTCGGTGTGTGCACACGAGGTAGAACAGAGCACCCTGTGGGAGGAGCGGAAGCAGGTGGGCAGCTGGAGGAAGACGGGGTTAGCTCCCAGTCTGTTGGGACAGATCTCTGGGCCTGGACTCCGAACTCCTTTCCCCCGACTCATATGGGGCTGCACTGCTTGCTCCAGGAAGCCATGGCGAGGCCAGGTGCCCTGTTGTGCCTGCTGCTTTTCAAGTGTCTTTAACGGAAAGCAATGCTGTGCCAAGGTGCATATTCTGGGCGCGCATGTGTGGCCCTTCTGTACAGCCACCCGCAGTGGGGGCGGCCTCTGGGCAAGCTGCCAGAAGGCTGGGGGCTCCACTCGCTGCCTCGGGCCCCAAGGAGACATGATCCCCAATCCTTCCTGGTTTGGGTTTGGTTTGGTTTCCCACAGCTTATCTAGTAGAAGTTCCTGTCAGTTCTACCTTTCCTTGTTTTGATTCAACCACTCTCCCCTTCCTTCCCTCCCCTCTGGCACCCCGTCAAAGCCGTCATCCCTCCACAGGACCGCTGAGGTGCCCACAGGACTGATGACCCTCCTTCCACTCTTGGCTCTTTCCAATATTTCCTCCATCCAGTGGCCAGCGGCATCTTTCAGAGATGACCCCTCCTCGGCTTTCTATTGAAACCAAAATGAAGTTCAATGGATCTACCAGCCTCAAGACCCCATGACCTGAGCACCCCCACTTTCCAGCTTTGTGTCAGCCATACTGCTCTCTTTTCTCCCTCCCTACCTTGGCTCCGAATGGAATGCTCTCTTTCCCTGAAATGTATTCTCCCAGCGTGTCCACGCTGCCCCTGCCCATCCTCCAATTCTCAGCTTTTCTAAAATATGCCCCAAGTTCCTCTCTGCCTTATCACCAGGCACCCCGGTTCCCCCTCTCAGCACCCATCACAATTCGTAATCATTTATTGGTTGTCATGTTTGTGTGCCAGCCATCTTCCCCTACTGGACTGCAGTCCCGTGAGAGTAGGGTTCTTGCTTACCGTGTCCCGCCCTCTATCCCCACGCTTGGCTCAGAGCCGGGCAGGTAGTAGGTGCCGAGTCCATAGCTGTTGAGTTGATAAACGTCTGGATGGATGAGTGAAGCTGTAAATGAGTCCGTGTTGAAGTGGCTCTGAAGGAGGGTTGAGGGCCAGGTCCAGTGGAGGCAGGAGAAGCGGAGAGCCAGCTGTCCCCAGCAGGCTATTACGGGAACCGAGACCCTTGGCTTGTCCTCAGAAGAAATAGTTCAGGAATGGCTTGTCCTGGACAGTAGTGGGACGAGCCCGTGGTGACCCTTGGCCCGCACGGACCAAGCGCATTGGACACAGAAGCTAGATAGCTCACGCAGGGCCTGTTCTCTCCTGTGTCCTCCTCCCTGCTCCCCAAGGTGAGCAGGAAACGTGGCTCCAGTCTTTGGTGAGATTCTTGTCTCTGGACCTCTTTTAATTTGATTTACAAATTGGAGTAGAACCTCCCTTGCCCAGTTGTAAAAATTATATTGGTTCGTGTGTAAAAGGGTTACAGTGGCCATCTGGTCGGAAGCAAAAATAAAACAAAGTGAGCTCCTCTTTTGTGTGACTGGAATCGGCACAGAATTACCCTGAGGAAATGCTGGGCTGGCCTTATTCTTGGTCCCTTCGGGCTCTCATCGTCTGGAATTGACTTATCCCCTCACTGATTTCTTTGGAAACATATTCCATGTAAAGACCCGCTAAGTCCCACCTTGGTGTAGGAGTCTGGGTCACACCAAGCCATTGTCCAGATCTGGAAAGCCAACCCTGAGCCCGGAAGCTTGTTGGGAGCGAGGGTCCAGGCTGGGCAGGGAAGAGGTGGTCTCAGCGGAGGCTCAGCTGCTTCCACAGGCGCTTGAGCTCTGGATGTCCTCCTTCCTGGGCACTGGTGACCAGTTCCACCTGGATGGCCAGTTGCTGGGCACAGACTGCCCCAGGGACGGGAGGCGACCTTTGGCTGGTGCTGTCTCCAGCTGTGGCAATTCTGGAAAGCTGCCAACGTTCCAGCTGCCGAGAGAACGACCTTGAAGTCTGAAAGGAGGGGGCAGTGCCCGTTTGCACACGCGTGGACTGGCCTTGGCCTTGTAGACAGCAGCACCGGTCTTGCACTGTGGCTCTCGGCAGACCCGTTCCTGTCCTGGCTCGGCCACCTCCCAGCTGGTCCCTGGACAAGCTCCTTTGCCTCCATAACTGAGAAGCCTGTGCTCAAACACGTTCCTCACTGTTAACTACAGAATGTCCAGGGCGGTTGTGGAGGGGCCTCCCGTGAGAGGAAGGCTGTCAGTGTACCCGGGGAGCAACAAGCACTCATTCGCCCACACACCGTTGGGGGGGGGGCGCTGGCCTGGGGAGAGCAGGTAACTAAATGGGGTGTTGGGTGCAGAAGTGCCACTTAGACTGTGAAGCGCAGTGCAGCGCTGGGGCAGTGGCTTTGTTCTTACAGGGTGCTGCTCCCCTCCCTGCAGGAGCCCAACCGGTTCCAGCTCTGCCCTTCTGCCCCCCACAACAGTGACAGCCACGCTTCTCTTGCCCACGGCCTGACTGTGCTCCCTCCCTCCAGGTGACACAGAAGTACTCCGTGGTGCTCGTGCAGGGCCACCTGGTCTCCGAGGCGCTCCTGCTCTTTGGCCACCAGCACTTCTACATCTGCGAGAACTTCACACTCTCCCCCGTGGGTGACGTCTACTGCACCCGCCACTGCTTATCCAAGTGAGTGTCCACTTGCCCCTCGGGCTCCTCCCTGAGCCCCAATCTCCTTCTCAGCTACCCTCCCCCCTTGCCCTCCCACCTTGTTCTCACTGTGGGCTTGGGTTTGGGCCAGAAACTGAACCATGAGATAAAACAGAAGAACCTTAAGGCACAGGCACTCTTGACCATGGTTCCCCAAAGCTAACATCTGGGATGCATAACAGTGGGGCAGCTCCTTGTGCCTCTCCTGGTGTGGGGACCACGGGACAAAGAGGGTTTCTCCGTCTGTCATTTGTCATGGAATCCAGTCCCATCAGCCCACTCGTTCGACAGCTTGCTGGCTGCTCACTCATGTAAGACCTCAGCACTGCCCCACCATGCCCAGCAAGTGCCACCAGCATACAGGCTCCTTGGAAAGAGTGTGGGGCACACTAGCAGCACAGGACAGAGCATCTGCTCTGGGGGGACTCTTCGGGGTGCACAGGGAGGGGTGTGCTGAGGAAGGGCTGCTTGAGGAAGATCTGGGGCTTGCAGGGGGTGAGATTTGGGTAGAAATTTGAAGAGTCATTTTATCCCAACCACACCAGAGGTCTTTGGCAGGACATTCCGAGGATCTTTTTAAGGATCAACTGCATTTGTTCTGTTTGGGTTCAATCAGGCTGATGAGTTCTCTGTGCTTATGGAGTCCAGCTGTTGGGACCACATTGGCCATGTTTGCACTGTTGCCAGGACTCCAGTTGTCAAGTTGTACGTTTTCAGTTGATCGTTGCTTTTGGAAAAATTTGGATGACGTTTTCTTCATCCAGAGACAAGCCTGGGCTTTCCTGGTTAGCCAGGGCTCACATGATGACAAAGCCCCTCTTCGATAGCCCAGCGACGCTCCAATTAGCTTACATCGAATCACCTGGAAGGCTTGCTAAAGCAGACTTCTGGGACCCACCTTCACCCCAGCTTCTAATTTGGCAGATCTGGGGTAGGGCTGAGATTTACCCAGTTCTCTGCTGATCCTAATGCTGAGAGGTAACCAGCTGAGAGCCACTGTTGTGGACTATTGACAAGGAGTCAGAGTCGGACCTGCCGATAACGAAGAGGTTTAATTCCCAGGTGTCATGTCATTTCCAGCCCCGGTCAGGAAGCAGGAGCTTAAGGAGTGTGGGAAATAGATGTCAGCCCCCCTCCTTTGATCGAGATTTGCTTTAAAATGCTTGGCATTTTTCTCTCTGATAATTTTCATCTTTTATTCATTCCAAATGTTTACCGATTGCTGGGAGTCCTCTGTGCTTTCCCAAGGCAGGAGAAGCATAACTAATACTTGGCACACACATCCCATCTCCTGGCTCATGTTTTATTGATACTGATCAATACGGACAATGGGCCTGCAGACGTGCCTTTCTGGGGGCTGATGGAAGCTCCTGCCCCCTGCGCTCAGGGCGAGCCCATGCGGTGACTCGCACGAGCCGTTGCTTCACTCCTCGGCTCTGGTTTAAACCAGTCAGTGTTAGATGAGCTCTTATTGATCAGGAGAATTGTGTGTATGAGGTGCCCCTCATAGCACTCAGATCCACATCTACACTTTTAATAGAAGCCCACTTGCTAGGCTGCTTGTGCTCTCTTGGTTTGGAAGGACCAGGGAGCCTTGCCCTGTCTGGAAATGGACTTTTCTAGAATGCATGTGAGAGTGGAGTGAGAACAAATGGCTATCCTAGACGGTCAATAGAGATTGCCTGGGCAATGTTAATCACCGCCCCTCCAGAAGGGTTTGCGAACCAGACGGCGCTCTCTCGAGGGCTGGGCTGCTGCACTGCAGTTCTCACCAGCTGCTCGATCCTATCAGATCAATGGGGATTGAGTCTTCTCTTGCCCATGGAGACCGAGGGAGATGCATACATAAGCCAGTTAAAAATACAGCTAAGTCCACCCTGAAATGTTTCTCTAAAAGACGGCCTCAAGTTGAGTACACTGAGCACTAGACCCTGAAAGCGGCTCTGAGGGTCCATAAAATACTGGAAATGAAACTCAAGAACACGCACGCCCTCCAGCCGAGCGCCCTCCGGGCTGTGGAGTGTCCCAGACCCTCAGAACCTTCCTAGAAGGTGTGACGTTGCTATCACGGATGCCTTTCGGCTGATAGCATGAGGTTGCCAGGGATCCTGTAACCAAGTACCAAAAACTGTGTGGCTTTAAAACACAGATATTGGTGTCTCAGTCCTGGAGGCGGGAAGTCGGCAGCAAGCTCTGGGCGGCGCTCTCCCTCTGCAGCTCCGGGGCCAGCCCCTCCTTACCTCTTCTGGCCTCTGAGTTCCCCCATCCTCGGTGTTCATTTGCTTGTAGACACGTCATTCCCGTCACCTAGCTGTCTTCTCTCGTGTGTCTTCACAGGGCCTTTCCCCTGAGCGTGTCTGTCTCTGTCTGTTTCCCTCTATACAGGGACTAGTCATGTTGGATCAGGGCCTATCTTTCTGACTTCATTTGATTTTATTACCTCTGCCACTCACCTATTTCTAAATAAAGTCTCAGTCTAAGGTTTGGGGGGTTGGGATTCAACATATCTCTGTCGGGGGAAGCAATCTAACCCTCAGCAGTGGCGGTCAGGTTCAGAAGGTGCAGCATTTGATTCATTTGGTGGAAATCCAAACCGTCCAATTAGCTCTTTGTAACTGGATAGTTCCTCCCTTCAGTCAGCATTTAGGCATCATTTCTCTGTTAGTTCAATGCAACAAGTACTTACTGAAAGTCGGTCTTGTCCCGGGCACTGTGGTCAACTCCAGAGATACAGAGACGAGCCAGGCGACAGACTCTGGTAGAGAGTTTGTGATCGAGCGAGTGATGCTGAGCACATTTCAGGTGTGAATTCTGACAATGCTTGTAGGTTGGACGGAGTAATACTTGGTGATGGAGTTGTTGCCATTCTCACCAGTGCCTTGGCCTGTGATGCTGGCTGGCGCAGGCACCGGTAGGCACCAGAGTCCCTCTGAGGCCCCATCGGGAGTCCGAGGAGTTGAGGGGAAGCTGATCTTCACCCCAGAGGGGGGCGTTAGTAAGGAACACAGGGCCCCAGGTAGCAGTGGGTTTCAATGAAGGCCTCCAGGCAGAAGCATCCAGAACGAAGCCACATTTGTATTTGATCAGTCCTACAGCAACATGGCTCTGAGCAGGACTCCTGGGAGGACTGTCCTCACAGAGGTAGGAGGAGCTGCAAAGGCCTGGAACCCATGTCCCTGGGGCCTGGCTGTGCAGGGGGCTAAGCTATGGGCTCAGGCTTGCCTGGCCAGTGTGGCTCAGTGGTTGAGCATCGACCTATGAATCAGGAGGTCACAGTTCGATTCCTGGTCAGATCACATGCCTGGGTTGCAGGCTCGATCCCCAGTGTGGGGCATGTCGGAGGCAGCCAATCGATGATGTCTCTCTCTCATCATTGAGGTTTCTATCTCTCTCTACTTCTCCCTTCCTCTCTGAAATAAATAAAAAAAATATATTTAAAACAAAATAAACAAGCAACCAAAAAAAACAGTGGGCTCAGGCTGTGTCCCCAAGTAACTCTCCCTTCTACTCAGCAGTGACCGTTCAGCATAGTAACAAGTCCAAGCTGTTAGCACTACAGACGCTAGACGCCAGCCCTGACCGTGGCTGGAGGTCCTGTGGGCTTGAGTGAGGGCCATCCACATGCTCGGTGGACATGGGACACAGAGGTTCGTGCAGGCTGGCCCGTGGCTGCAGCCGCAGCTGGGTGGCAAGAGGGCCTGGCTGCGTGCACTGGGCAGGGCCCTCTCCACCCTGGGTCCTTGGGGTCTGGGGTCGGGGCGCACGTGCTTCTCGAGGCTGAGGTCCTCGGAGGCTCTCCATCGCTCAGGCCCTAAAGGGCATCTTCTCAGAGCTTCTGTGGTCCTGGCCACACTCTGAATCACCGCGGAACTCAGGTGAGAGGTCACTGTCCAAAACCAACACACACTCACTCCTCGGTGCTCTTAGTGTCGGTGGGAAAGCTCCCTGTGGCTGCCACGGCGTTTCAGTGACTACCGTGCGCACGTGGTTCTCTGAGGTAAATGCTCACCAAATTCCCGGGCCTCCCCGGCCCTCCTCTGCCCACGGGAGTCGTTGGACCTCAGGGAGCGGTTCTGGCCTGGCTTGGCCTCCGCTGCCACGTGGCTGGTCCCTGTCTCTGGGCGAGCTCCCGAGGCCACTGCTGAGGCTGTGGTCACTGCTCCCAGCCCCCTGGCGTCGCATCCCGGCCCACAGCCCTTTGGGATGGGCGTTGTCCCCACGCTGCCGAGGGCATGCTGAACCGGGCTTCCGGTGGAGTCTCGGCATCTCTCTGCCCGACTCCGGAGTCTGACATTTCTCCACACGTGATGAGAGTATCCCCTGCGCGCTCCCCCAGTCCGTGTGGACACTGTGCCGGAGGGACTGCTTACTCGCACTCGTCACCGAGTGCCACCGCCTGTCCTGCAGGCTGTCCCAGGCCCACTGTCCTCTCACCTGGTGAGGCTGCTGCCCCTCCTACTGCTCAGGGCAGGGCTAATGAGGATGGTGCTCAGGGTTTACCAGGTCAGGGGGTGCCGGCATCCTGCTCGCAGCCACCCTGGAACCCCCAGGGTGTCCCAGAAACTCAGTCAGGGCTGTGGGCCAGGGCGGGACGAGCCCACTGGACACCCTCTCACTGCATGTCTTCTTGTCCTTTCAGCATCAGTGATCCATTCATTTTCAACCTGTGCAGCAAAGACAGGTCCTCCGACCATTACTCCTGCCGGCGCCACAGCTACGGGGACCTCCGCCTGCAGGTACGCCGGTCGCGGGAAGGGCAATGGGAGAGGGCGGCCCAGGTGCCATGGACGCCCTCTGAATGGGAGGGACACTCCTCCGGGACCCCCTTGGGTCTTCAGGAATACAAGACAGGCAGCGCCGTTGCCTCAGGGCGGAGCTGATGCCGGGAGCTGAGTGCCAGTCTGCCCTGTTCCGACCGCCTGGACCCCCTCAGCTGCCTGCCGTCCTCTCCTCCCCTCCCCACACTCGCCAAGCGCCTGGTAATTCCCTGGGCCCAGTGGTTTAGAGATCTACTGATTGTCCCTCAGCCAGGGTCCCTGGAGGGCTCACCCAGGCACTAAACAGAGAAGGCTCCTTTGGGAGACAGAGCGGCTGCCGGCTCAGCACCACCTAGTGCATCCCCACTCCAGGGAGAGGTTCAGAAGCAACAGCTCAGTGGCAAGGGGAGGAAGACCTCTGGGGCCCGGTGGCCACACACACACACCTGCCTTCAGCAGCTAGCCTCTGCAATGGTGAAGCTGCAGGGGGTGGGGGGGTGCTTCCTGGATGCTGTGGTATCAGGACCCCTTGGAGGAGGGGAGAGGAGGGGAGGGACCAGGGCTTCCACCCTCTCTGCCGGGTGTCTGCCCTGCAAAGGCCAACAGGGGGCAGTGCTTCACCTGAAAAAGGAGTGAGAGTGCCTTCCATTGTAAATTTCTTAGGGTGTGTAATTCAGCTCAGGGAGGCCTGGGGGGAGGGAGGGGTGACTCATTTAAAAACTATCAGAAAGGATCGGGTCCTGCTGAGGAGGGCCCAGCAGGCTGCAGGCCTCTGACCGCTCTCCCTCTGCCCTGCCTCTCTGCTGCTTTTGCCCACAAAGGGCCAGTCCTCATTTTGCCTGACCTCATGCATTTCTTTGCAAGGGGCTGAGTCAGAAGGGGCTGAGTTGAAGGGTCCTGGGCAGTGTGGCCAGGACTGCACAACTGGGCACCTCTCTGGGCTCCTGTTTCCTCTTGTCTTGTCTGCCATTATGTATACAGCACTTGGCACATATTAAATATCAAGAATTAAATTTTTAATGACTATCTATCTGCCTTAGAGGTAACACACATGGCAAACAGGTATCAGTAAATGAGTTTCTTTCCCCCTGTAAGCGGGGGTTGTCTCCAGAAGGCCGGGAGCCTGAGAACCGGGAGGCCGTGTGCACAGTGGGCACTGGCCACCGCTTGTCCAGTGCGGGAGTCTCTAGGCGGAAGTCTGACATGGGCACTCAAGGCTGCGGGGAAGCCATAGCCCCTATGGATTCTGTGCTCATCATCTATTGGCACATTATTTATGTTTCTATTTATAGAGACACCTAGGCTCTATGTGTGCCTGTAGAGGACGGGTTTGCACTGTCAGTACAAAGACGCGTCTGCTCAGGAGCCCGTGCACTGACTGAGCACTGGATCCAGCCCGGCAGAAGCAGGACCTGCCTCCGGGTTGGACGCAGCCCCCCAACCTCCCCCCGCCACGAGTCTGACCCTGAGCCACCCATCCATCCCCCAGGCCCAGGCCTCACTCCTCTGCCCCCCTCCAGCCCTGGCCCCCTCATCCCCTGTGTGGACTCGCTCTATCACTGCTCAAATCCGTCATTTACCTGGTGGGGATCAGATGAGGGGAGAGGGAGGCAGAGGCAGAGGAAGAGGAAAGGGAATCGTGTAGAGGTCATTTAGGCATTCGCTGCTTTCTTGTCCCCGGAGTGGGCCCTTGCTTCCTGCTTCAGCCAAAGGAACTGGAGGTCCCGCCCTCCTGCCCATTCTGTGGAGACCCTGCTCATTGCTGTCAACGAGGCCTCTGTGCCCTGTGGGAGGCTGGCAGGAAGGGTTGCCTGTGTTATCCTGAATAAAGAGGTAAACTGAGGCAAGCTTGAGTGACCAGAAGTCGAGTTTTTGCAGAAATAGCAGAGGAGTCACCATGGGACGCGTGCTGTGCAAACTACAGGCGAGTCCGTTGAGGGTGTGGGCGCGGTATTCATGGGCCAGGAGCACAGGGGTCAGATCCCGCCAGAGTCCAAGCGGCAAGTTCATCGGCTTGAGCGGAAGGATTGTGGGCGCATGTTCATTGTGAGGAGCTAAGTCTCTGTCCTCTCTGAATCAGGTGTTCATGGGAAACAATCTCGGTTCTTAAGTTCCGATCTTCTGGGCCACATGCGTGATCTCCATTTCCTACCCTCTGGGTCCACGTGCGATGGCAATCCTCTCACAGCGGCACAGAGACCCAGCCGCCTCTTGCGGGGACTCTGCTGCCTGGCGGTGCTGCTGTTCCGGGAACTTCAGGAGCAGTGAAAGGGTTTCTCTTTATAGGACATTGCCCTGGAGATCTTTTTCCGAAATGGATGCTCCAAGTTTTTTGTCTTCCACAACAGCGATCGGAGTAAGGTCTTCAAAAGGTAAGGGCTGGAAACTCCTCCTCGGAGCAAACTGACCAGGAGCTGGGGGCCGAGGAGCAGGGACCGCTCAGCGCTGTTCTCAGAACTGTCCTCGACCCACACGAGGAATCCTCAGGTTAGACACCAGGAAGAACTTACCCCCAGAGCTGTTGAAAGCATAGAGAAAGCCTTTGCTCCATCCTGGGAAGCCGGCTCCATCTCAGGGACTGAAGGGGTTTAGGACAGTCATGACTGGAGGAGGAAAAATTGTGCAGACACAACATATTTCAGAAACTGGCGATTTAACAGGCATTCCAGAATTTTCTGGCTTTATTTTCTAATTATCCAAGAATTCTTTGGCTTTATCTTTCCTTTTGATCCCAGTTGCCAATGTTAGTTGTTCTGACTTCACATTTCATTGCAAAGAATTCCAAACACTGATTTCCCACTTCTGCGCGAGCATATTTTCCCTTAAAGAGAGAAGCCTGCTGTTTAGTTTAACTTCTCTCCCTCCCAATAGATTAATCCATCTAAGCAATATAAGCTAAGAAAAAGGTAATACTAATATTTATTTATTTTTATTACTATTAGAGTTGTAGATAATAGATAGAGATTTGTGGGAAGCTAGAGGGGACAGAGGAAGGCAGGTGCCCAGCCATAAACAGACCCCACAGGAGTTGGAGTAACAGCTGCGCTGTTTGGCTCCACTCAACCGGAAGTTGTGAGGTGAGATTTGACATCCTGACCTGAAGGCTCCAGGCCACGTGCACTCAGAGGGTCTAGCCTAGCCTTCCTGGTGGCCCTGGCTGGTCACTGGCACCAGGCCCCGCTGCTGTGCCCACAGGAGAAAACCAGTCCTGCAGAGAGGCTGTCTGCCCAGCGCTGGGCATGTCTCCAGTAGCTGTGAGCCACTCTTTGAGGTTCTTCCGATTTGCCTGTGTACGGCCTCCTGACATTTTCTTCCAGTTCCATTTTAGACCGAGCTGGAGCAGTGGGCGTGCGAGGCTGACCCTCACGTTTGTGTTCCCTTGTGATTCCTGGGTGCTAACGTTTTCAGTTAATCTAGGAGTTGTGTGTCCCTAGCTCAGTGGTGAGTGGTGCCCACCAGCCCTCCTCGGTGAGCCTGAAATTGAGATGGCACCTGTGCCCAGGGTACAGCCGTGCGTAGTGAGATTGGCAGAGGAGGAATCTAAGACACGTATTTTTATGGTGACATTGTTTTATTGTTATGGTTGTTATCAGGGCTGAGTGTGCGATGCAGACGTGCTGAGGGTGGTCAGAGGGGCACCAGGTCTGTTGCTCACAGACGGGGTGGCTGGAGGGCTGGCGGGCCCAGCACCTGTCCCTAGCCTGGCTCTGAAAATGTCTCCTTAGTGCTGGAAGGGTCTGCCTCTTGCTGATGAGATGATCTTTCCTTTTTGTGTAGCTTCTGCTCCTTCCAACCCAGCTTGAAGGGGAAAGGCGCCCCAGAGGAACCCCTCCACCTCAGGTAAGTGTGGGCGGGCCTAGCCGTGCTCTCCGGCCGGCGCTGGCCTGGCTCTGACCTCATTCGCCTGATCCTACTGTAAAGCTGTCACGCCAGGAGCACGCAGTCCTCCTTTATTGGCTCCACTTTGGCTCCGCCTTCCCCTTTATTGTCCCCTCTCCCACCCCCTCCGCCCTCCTCCTCCTCCCAAAGCTCCTTCTGCTGACCGCACCCCTGCAAACAGCCTATGTGTCCCACGTGGTCTGTGGCTTTTCCAGACCAAAATGGCAGAAAGCCGTCTGCCTGTGGTGGGTGGGTGCAGGCTGGCAAAGAGGTGCCAGGCCAGGCCCAGCCTGGGCAACAGCCCTCAGGCAGGGTGTGAGCAATCCCAGGTCTGTCCTCCTGTAGGAGACTCTCAGAAAACTCAGAAGCTAAATGAAGGCACGCTGGTGTGCAGGTCCGACTCAGTTTACACTCTATGACAGGGAGCCTCCTTGCAGGGAATGCTGGGCTTCCAGACCTGCCAAGGCCGCCCTTCACAAGGACCCCGTTTCCCTGAGGCCGGGGAAACCATTCGGCACGTTGTTAGGAATGAGAACGCAAGAAGGTGATGGCTGGCTTTGTCCAGGAGTGTGGGTGGGGCAGGGAGGGATGTCCCAGAGGTGGCATTCAACTGACTGTGAAATAGGGACCCCCAGGTCATTCAAATCACTTATCGATAGTTTGTTATGTGTGGTGTTTGCTGCTTTCAGAGCAGCAAGCAAAACACTCAAACTCTTCCCTGTCCTTATAGTCTCCCAAGGAAGATAGACAGAAAACAATTTACATTAGTGACACTGAAAGCACATTTGACTAGAGGCCTGTGCACAAAATCATGCATGGGTAGGGTTCCTAGGCCTGGCCGGCAATCGGGGCCGATTTGTGGGGTGACCGGCAGGGCAATCGGGGTCCCAGCTCTCACCCGCCTTGGCCTGGCGCCACCTGCTCACCTGCTCCACCATCCCGCCGTAGTCCCGCTCTCGTGGGGACCCATCAGGGCCAGCAGCGCCTCCACTGCTGCCTGCTGCCAGCACCGCATCAGTGATGCCCACCATGTTCCACGCCGCCCCCTGGTGGTCAGCGCACATCTAACTCCCAGTGGGTCAAACTCCTGCCCATGGGGACGATAGGAGTATGTGTATAAAATAAAAGTAGATAGAGGTAGGGATTGAAATCTTAGGCGGGGTGTTAAGGGAAGGCCTCACCGAGAAGCAATATTAAGATTTGCATGAAGTAGAGAAGCAAGGTGTGCAGAGACTGGGCCGAGGGAGGAGCAGGGTAGGCAGGTGGTGGGCTGGCGCCAGGTGGCTGGCAGCAGGGAGGATCCCTGGTTCTGGAAGGGTCTCCCTGGTGCACAGTGGGATAAAGGCAGAGCTGGGAGGCAGTTAGGAGTGATCTGGGTTAGGAGTGATGGTGGCTTGGAAACGGGGTGACTGTGAGATGGGGTGGAGTGGCCAGGTTCTGGACGTTGTGAAGGAACCTCTACTGGCATCTGTTGACAAGTCACGTGTGGAGTAAGTGCCTGGGAGAGAAGGGACTCGAGGAGAGGCCCAGAGATCTGGCTGTGAGCACTGGAATGTGCCAGGGGAGGAGCAAGGAAGAGCGGCGCTGGGGGTGCTGCCGGAGCTCCGTGGGGGGCCTGTTAGCTCTGACACGCCCGCAGACAGCCTGGCGGATGTCATGTTGGCCTTTGGGTAGGTGAATTTGGAGTCCATGGAAAGGCCCTGCTGAGAGGTAGGTCTGGAATAGAATTTAAAGCATGAGACTGGGTAAGATCACCAGGAGAATGAGTGCACCAGGGCAAGAGGTTTAAGGATTGTGCCCTGGGGCGTCCAACCTTTCATGGGTAAGGACATGGGGAGGAACGAGCACAGAGACGGAAAGTTACATCCAGGAAAGCCGGTGTGGCTCAATGGTTGAGCAGTGATCCATGAACCAAGAGGTCACTGGTTCGATTTCTGGTGAGGGCACATGCCTGGGTTGTGGGCTCAATTCCCAGTGGGGGGCATGCAGGAGGCAGCTAGCTGATCGATGATTTCTCTCTCACCAATGTTTCTATCTATCTATCTCTCTCTCCCTTTCTCTCACTATAAAAATAAATAAAAACATATCTTTTTAAAAAAGAAAGGCAGGAGGAATGGCAGGTGTGGAATATTTCATGAGAGTCAGTTTGTGTTTCAAGGAGGGAGTGGTCAACTGTGCTTGATCAAATGACCACATGCTGCTGGGCGGCTGAGTAAGATGAGAAGTGACCTGTGTAGAACTCGGGCCATTGGTGACCTTCAAAAGACCCACTTGAGTGGCTGCCAGAAGAAGCCCCTGTTGCTTCAGGAATAACCCTTTCCTTGGTGGAACGTGTGGAGTCCAGCACATGCCGGGCAAATGTCTAGGAGGCCTGGGTAGCAGGGGCCGCTGGAGGTGGGGTGGCTGGTTACCAACTGAGCTGGATGTACTTCAGCAGTTCAACAATAGCGGAGCCCTAGTTGCACATAGAAGCTGAGTGCTAGCCCTGGACCTCATATCACCTGTTTCATAGAAGCTTCCATCTCCACATGTGGACTTCCCTGCAATGTCCCGGTGACAGTGGTGGAAAGCCATTTCAAACTAACTGAAGCCATCACCTCACATACCTGACGGCCAGACAGGCCTGGCTCCAGGCGAGCTAGATCTCTGGGCTCATAAGTCCTCAGGACTGTGACTCCCTGTCTCACAGCGGGGGTTTCCTGGGTTGGCTGTTCTCAGCAGACTCCCAGCATCAGGGCATCACCGCCCCAACAGCCAATCCCGCAGGAAGTCTGCCACACAAGGAATGCTCTGTCTCAGTAATTTTAGCAAAAATCCCCCAAAGTGGTTTTCATCTGCCCCAATTAGGTTAGTACCCATTCCAGAACCAACCAAGTGCTTTCATAGGCCAGGGCAGGGTCATGTGCCCACCCACATCCTGGGAGTGGAGTCAGTCCCACCAATGATATAGACCACACTGAGGGGAGGTGGTTTCCCAGAGCATCAGGGTTCTGTTATCACAGAGGGGTGAATACTGAGGCATCAACCACAGCAGCTGGCCCCTCACTGCCCCAGCAGCAGCTCCCCAGGGCCACAGCACTCATGGCTGTGTGTCCATTTTCTCACTCCCTGGAGCTTCTCTCTTCTTGCACCAAGTCTGACACAAGTCACTTCACTAAACGCCTTTTGCCTCTGCAGATCACTCTCTTATAAATGCCTTGTGTACAATGTCACTCAGTGATCAGGTAGCTGTCCCTACAGCTGGGGGTGGTTCCCGGGCCATTCCTGTTCTATTGTTCTCAGAGTCCGAGAGATGCTTTGTCCCACCAATGCTTACCTCTATCCATACAGGTAAGGATCTCAATCCCTGTCCCAGATGGAGAGGGAGTAGATAGAGGAGGGGCAGAGGAGCTCAACTGTGGCTATGGCACTAAGTTGGGTGTCCATACAAAAATGAGTGCCAAGTGGAAGAGTTCATTCTTGCCCTGGGGACGAGTTAAATGTGCAGAAATTACTTCTCTCATCCATAGAGATAACCCTAGACACCCACCTGGGCCCCAGCTGGCCCCTGTGGGACAGCTGAGCCCTGTGCCGATTGCATTTCCATTGTGTTAATATTTTCCTCATGGCCCTCTGAGGCCAATGGAGCAGGATGTTCCACGGCCACTCTGTGCTTGCCTGGCATCGCCCCAACACGGCTCTAAGCATGGAGACCTTTGGAAAATACAAACTGAGTGAGCTGCTGCCCAGCTGGAGTGGCTCAGTTGCTGGAGCATCATCCTATGCAACAAAAGGTTGCCAGTTTGATTCTTGGTCAGGACACATACCTGGGATGTGAATTCAATCCCCATTCAGAGCAGGTACAGAAGACAAGCAATTGATGTTTCTCTCTCCTCTCTCTCCCTCCCACCCTCCTTCCTTTACCCTCCCCTCCCTCACCCTAACTTCCTTCCCTCCCTCTCTGCTGGGGGCAGTGCATAGTGCTCCAGGACATGCTTAGTGAGCTAATGGAAGGGGAGCTTTGACACAACGAGGAAGCCCCAGCCACATGGTTGGTCCTAGGCACTGAGGCCACGCAGGCAGCCTGGGCTCATGGCAAGGCTCTGCTGCAGCAGCCAGCGTGGCCTTTGGGATTTAGCCAATTTGACCTCAAGGAGGTGCTCAATAAATTGTAATTCCTTTGCTTAGTTTCAGGATCACCTGCTGTGCATTTGGGGTGTTTGTGGAGCAATTGATTAAAGCAGGTGGTGTCTATGCTGTGGGCTCTTCTGTGTCTCCTTCCCAGCCCTTCTCTCAATGGCCAGGGGCAGCGCACAGCCTTCCGAGGGCTCAGCGGCCATGGTTCTGTGTCTTTTTATTTGGGCTGCCAAGGGCCATGCAGATCCACACAGTTAGCCTTTAAAAATATCTGGCTGTGTTTTGGACACTCCGGTGACCTCAAGCTTCTCGTTGCTGGAGAAGACATGTGGTCCATTCTGAGAGTTTTCCGAACTGGAGGGTTCCGATCTCGGTCCCCGCTCTTGATGACTGCGCTAGCCCTCCGGAGGCCGGCCCCCTACATGGGGACCAGAGCTTTTAAGGGCCAGGGTTTTGCCTATAATTCCAGTGACAATGGCTGCCCTCCCCCCTCACCCTGAGCTGAATTCCAAGGAGTTTCTATGCCTGGGTTACAAGCAGAAAATACTTGCAAAGTCTGGATGAGCCTAGAGCCTGTAATCCACCTGTGTCTCCCACAGCACAAGGCCAGACCATTCTGAAGGCAGGGAGGCGACATAACCAGGCTCGCTGGGGTGCTGGGCTCTGCCACTGCAGGGCCTTCTAGCAGGAACCCCGCAGGACCCCCTGCCAAGTGCCTGGCAGCCAGAGCACTCCCCATGTTAGACACCCACCCACGGGCTCTGCTGCGTTGTGAGGGGCCAGTGAGGAAAGAGGAGGAATGGTGGAGTGACAGGGGAGGACAGCTAGCGTGGAATGTGCATGTGACTAACACAGCTATCTGTGCCCTCCACAAAGGGCCGGAAACAGCTTCAAATTTCAACACAAGGTACAATGAGCCTGGAACCATTCATTCGCCGGAGTTCTCTCAAAGGAGAAAAGTAATGTGGTCAGGTACTGGGGTCATGCAACTATAGAAACAAAACCATGGAAACTGTAGAAGCAAAACCACTGGGCTGGCTTACATTGTTTTCCAAGGACGGATAACCAGAAACAGAAGGTTTTGAACTTTTACCCCCAGAAAACTCTTTTTCTTGGCACCGACTATCAAATTTGCCCTTGTCTAAAGGGTAGTGATACCAAAGTCAATTCCGTTTTTATAAAGTTTGAAGGAAGAGCACTACAGAATATAATCTTTTATATTGTGTCTCTGGAAAAGCAGGGCCCTAACATGTGGCCCTATTTCTGTACAGACATGTGTTTGGGATGCGCATGGCCTGGCTCAGTGATGCTGCTCCCCAGGAATCTCGGTTCATCTGGAGCCCAGGGTTAGAGAACTCAGAGACACAAGGCGAGGCTGCCCGCAGGCTCCTCCCTCCTCACGTCCTCAGATCCGTGGAAGGCCCCTTCCAGGGCCATGCTCTCTGATGAGGGACGCACTCACTGATGTGTCCTCAGGCCCAAGGTGCCCTGGGCTGGAGGACACTGTTGGGTGTGACCCGGTCGTTGGGTGGTTGCGGTTTCTGAACTGTTCTCTCAGTTGGATAGTTTGCTTAATAATGTTTAGAATGAAATACACTTTTGGGCACAAGGTTCTACAGTTGAGTGTTGTCAGAATTTCCTTTATAGATTATCTTTGAAAAGCAATGGAAGAACTTAGAAAACAAACCATAACCGGCTATAAAGATCTATAAGAAGATGACCTTCCAAGACAGTCACTAACACCCAGGCCCCCTGCCGGCAGCGTGGAGGCTAAGATTCAAGTCTACCTCCCCCTGCGTTCCGCAGCCCTACTCTCTAGAGACCACGGGGCTGAGCAGCGCGAGGCCGAGCATGTGAGCCCTGCTTGCTTAGTGAGGAGAGCTGCCGCCCACCACTGGGCGCATAGGTGTGCTCCTGGGCTTCTCAGCAGCACAGCCTGGGAGGGCAGCTCCAGAGACCATGTGGCTCAGACCAGGCCCACAGCAGAATCGCTGGAAGGCAGAAACTCACTAGTTCAAGGTCCCCAGCCACCCACTGAAAATCTGGGACATGGGTAAAGATGCCAGGCATTTTCTTTTATTTTAGCATCTTTCTCAGGAATCACGAAGGACGCGATCAACAACAGTAGCTTAGATTAGGTTGGTAAACTGAGGCAAAGGGACTCTTTATCCTGAAATGCCATAGCTCGGGGGCTCCTGAGAGCTTTCAGCTTCCCATGGTCACTCACAAGCTAGCTCTTGACACACGTCCACAGATCTGTTTATTGCCGCATCTAGCTTGTGAGATGGTCTTTAACTTTTTTATTTTAAATTAACTCTGGAATCACAGGAAGTTGAAAAAATGATACATAGAGTCCCCATGAAGCCTTCATTGAATTCCCCCCAATAGTTGCATTTTACGCAACTACAGTACAATTTCAAAACCGGGAAATTGTCATTGGTACAATATGTGTGCACAGCCTTTTGCCGTTTTGTCATATATGTGGTTGTGTGCAACTACCACCATCAACAACAATTCGTTTTATCCCTCTGCCACCCCCTCTTCCTAAGACATGGCTGAGAACGAAAACACAATGAAGCACCTAGAACAAGGCTGGCGAGTAAACGGCACCTGCATGCCAATCACTCAATGGGCAGCGAACCCAGGAGCGGTGCTTGGAGAGGGCATGGAGGACAAGGGCAGCGGGGACTGAGTGTGATGGGGCAGAGAGGGCTGGCATAGCTCAGTGGTTGAGTGTTGACCTATGAACTAGGAGGTCAAGGTTCCATTCCTGGTCAGGGCACCTGCCCGGTCGCGGGCTCGATCCCCAGTTGGGAGCATGCAGGAGGCAGCCCATTGATGATTCTCTCTCATCATTGATGTTTCTATCTCTCCCTTTTCCTTCCTCTTAAATCAATAAATATATATATATATTTTTAAAAAATATGATGGAGTTGTCACGACTAAGCATTACGAATAGAAATGGACAGTGAGGAGTGAAGAAATGCAGTGTGCTGTCTGCTCCGGCTTATAATGTGAACAAAGAAATATGTTCCTCCCTCTGAACCATGGACCTCCATCGACGTCCATAGGACTTGCCGCCAACACAGAAGAGCCTTGATTAAAGCATTTAAAAGCTTTGCCAAAGGTGGTTTTCTTGACCTTTTGTTTTAGGCAGTATGGAGGTGTGGGTGGTCCAGAAAGTTCTCTCCTCTGCGAAGACTGGCTCCACCACTGTCATTTCTGCCCAAAGATCTGGTACAAAGACGGACACTGTCCGGAGTGGGATTTCAGCTTGAGACACACCAAGCCCAGGTCTTAGAGAACTGACTTCTATTGAGGGCTTCCCCGTGTGCTGTCCCTGTAGGTGCTCAGTGACCCTTAGGGTTGGGGTCGTATCATTCCCACGTTACAGAGGAGGGAGCCAAAGCTAAGTAAGAAGCCCAGGGCAATGGCAAGAGGAAGAGCTGCCCTGAACCTAGCTCTGGCCAACTGCGCTTTTGATGTTCTCTCTGCCAAGGCGGATGGACCGAGAGCCTGCCTTCCTCTGTCTGTCTTCTTCCAGTGTCTTCCCTACAGGTGGCCCAGGGTGAGCCACGCTTTGCCCTATGGGATGCAATCCCTGCACCCAGCACAGGGCCTGGTAAGGTACTTATTTATTGACTGCACCAGCCCATACCTGCAGCCATTCTTTCCTTCCTCCCACCAGAGACTGGAAGAGAATTGGGCAGAGTGAGAGGGGAGTGGAGCCTCCTCATTCACAGCCCAGGGCCTGCAGGCTGAGTGGAGAGAAAGCGCCTAGAGCAGATTATGCAAACAGAGAGAGAGAGAAAGAGAGAGAGAGAGAGAGCACTGCTCAGAGCGCTCAGAGCCCAGGAGAGCCAGGATGTTACCTGGGATGCTTTAATGATAATATCTTCCCACCTCTGCTTTGTTCCCTTCCAAGGCTAATGTCCTCTGCCTCCTAGCTGCCCCTGACCTTTCAAGCTCTGACCCAAAGCAGCTGCACAGAACAAGCCCCACATTTGGGAGCTGGTGGTTAGTCCTGAAGTGCAGATAATGAAGCTAAGAGTGTGGCTATCTCAGCTGCCGGGCCATGGGGCTGCGTTGGAGGAGAGTTCTGGAGCAGCAGTGAGCTGTACAGCCCTTTCCCCACTCCTATACCTGCATGTGCGGGGGTGTGCACGCCGAGAGACAATGACTAAGAACCAAGAGCCCTTCAGGCAACAAAACCACAAGCCAAGACGGTAGGGAAAGTACTTTATGGGCTTAGCTGAAAGCACTATTGCAGTCATGGGGTAATCTCTCAATTTTCCGTGGAAGCAGCCCATTGCCATCTTTCCTCCCTCCCTGCACCCTTTCTGCCTCAGGGTCAGGGTACAAGGTCACCTCCATTCTTCCTGGGACTCCTTGGCCGTGGAGTTGGGCGCGATTAAATTGGTGAAGGCGGCCTTTTTCGGTGTCCCCGGGACTAGGCTCTTGATTTTGTTCAGCTTCTCTCGGGCCTGTTGGCATTTTTTCAGGCAATTCCCACACAGATCCTTTGCGTCCACCAGATATAAGTTATCCAGCCTCTTGATGTTATCTAAGAAGACATCCGTCTCCTCTGGCTGGAGGAAGGGGTTTCGCTTGGTGTTGAGCTTCTTCAGCTTGGGGAGCTTGGAGATGCTGGTGGGGATGGCGCTGAGCAGGTTGTCATGGAGCCCGACCTCATGGAGCTCCTTCAGAGCACCCAGTGTGGTGGGCACACTGTCCAGGTGGTTCAGGCCTAAATTCACGGTGCGGATATTCTTAAGCTGGTTGAGTTCCACGGGCAGCCCGTTGGTGGTCAGCCTGTTGTTGCTGGCATTAAGGAACAGCAGACTAGTCATTTGGCCGATGGACTCAGGGAGCTTGTCGATGTAGTTGCTGTGCAGGTCCAGCCACCGTAGGCTCTGGAACTTGGAGATTGAATCAGGGATCCTCTTGAGCATATTCCGGCTAAGATCGAGCTCATCTATGTCATTGAGTTTCAGAATACACTTTGGGAAGGTGGTGATTCCCATCTTGCTCAAGTCGAGGCGTTTTCTCCCATCAAACGTAATTTTGATACAATTCTTGGCCACATTGAGGGTGATCTTCTTGCCCTTGGGGCTCTTCCCACTCTTGGCCATGTTTTTTAGTGAAGGATATGTTTGAAGTGTGCTGTTCTGGTTGGTTGGTGATCAGGTTGAGGAAAAAGTCACTTGAAGCTGCTAGAAGATATACTCTGAAAAGAGAAAAATTTCAAGTTAGGAGATGACACGAGAGTATTGGACTTCCCCCAAAGCATAATGCTTTGCTCTCTAACAGTTTAAAAGGAGAGAAAGAGGAAAGTGGAGAGAAATTAGGGCATCAGCAGAAGTCACCGAGACAAAGACCTTCAGTAAACTGCATGCCTTCCTCAGACCTCTGTTCCCAGATGTAAGAGGGGCTGCAGGAGGCTCAGTGTCCATCTCGCTGTGTCGTTTCCTGGCTTAATAATCTCTCCAATGTCCTGGACTTTCAAATACACCCGACCCCTCCCAGCCCAGGGGTACATGTAATTGTGTATGTGTGTCCTCTTGGCTACCTACCACTTCCCAGACCCTCACAGAAACCTAGTCTTTCTTTAGAGTTATGTTAAGGTGTCCACAGTATGTCTGCTGAATCCTCAGCAGGACCACAGCGTGGACATGAGGAGACAAATGCTTGCGGTGGATGGGTGGCCACGGTGCCTGCAGTTCCTCTGCTCCGTCATTCAGGCTCTTTCTCAGGAACCAAGTTCATGTAGCACATGAAGCGCCAGCAGCCAGGTGTGTGCGCCATCACCACGCTTTCCTCATCTGATTATCCTGTGTCCAAGGGAAGTGGGTGAAAGCTGCCCGCCCCGTGCTCCCTGTAAGCCACCATGGCCACTCCTCGGAGGGTCCCGCCCTGTGCTGGTCCTCCTGGACCACAGCCTCCTGGGATGGAGGGAGGTCCCCAGAGTCAGCCCGTGAGAGCATCGGTCAGTTCAGCCCTCAGCATCGTCAATGTTCTTCTGAGAAGCCTGGAGAGCAGAACCTCTTCTTTAGAAACAAGGACCCACCACATTCAGGCATAATTACTGAGCACAGCACCGCCCACTTTGGGAATCACTACTCTATATCATGTTGCTCTGAGAAACCAGAGGGAGTAAAGCAGCTTGGAAACAAAAGTCCGGCCCACTCGGATGAGAGGAGTCAGTCCGCTCTGCCTAGGCCACCGCGAGTGCACCACCTCCAGGTCCTGCATGGACAGCGCGCTCCCAGCACGCCGGCCACAAAGGCTGCCAGGCGGCGGGAGAAGTAACTCAAAAGTGGGAGCAGCTGTGCCCCGAGATGATAGAGAGATTTCCAAGAAGAGCCTCTCTCTCTGGCCCAGAATAGCAACGGGGCCTGTTAGGTTCAGAGTGGGTGTGCGAGGCCTGGCTTTACCCCCTGCCTCGGCCCCAGGCAGACCTGCATCGCAGTCAGCCAGGCAGGCCCGGAACCCGGAACCCGGAACCAAGGCAGAGAGCCATTCCCTGCCCACACTGGTCCCAGGAGGAGGTTGCCTTCCTCTCTCCTACTGTCACTTGGCCCTGGAGGCGGAGAGGGTGGCAGGAAGTGAACAGCGGATTCAGAAAACAAAAGGCCTGGATTTCTAACCAGAAGACCAAGGGCGCTGGTGGGGGCGTTGAGGGAGCCACTCAGTGTTGGGGAGATTGCACAGAGGAGGAAGTTTAATAAAGTTGTGCGTGAACTCCTGGATGCACCCTGAGCTGCCGGTGCACGAATGAAACCCTGAATAGGGTCTTCAGTACTTTGCCCCATACCCAGAGCCCCACAGCTTAGACTGAGCTGAGAGAGACCGCTGTGCAGGTTCCAGGCTGGTGCCTGGGTGGGACAGAGGGCCTGGCCCCACCAGCACCGCAAAGTCTCTGAAAACTGGAGGGACATTGTAACCATGATCGCAGAATCAACAGAAGGGCAGAACGTGCGCCTCTGGTGCCGGATAAAAACATACATCTCCATCTCCATAGTGACATGTAGATGTAGCCCTAGAGGAAGAGAGGTAAAGTTGTGGCACAGAAAAGTATTTGAAGGAAAAAACGGGTAAAACTTGTGAAATTTGGTGAAATTAACTTGCAAGAAGCTCAGTGAACTCCAAGAGGATAACTGAGTTTAAAGAAATCCACACCCAGAAACATCATTAAACTGCTCACAATTAAACAAAATGTTGAAACCTGCCTGAGAAAAAGGACACATTACCTTCAGAGAACGGCAGTGAGACAGCCCCTGGAGTCAGTAGAAACCACAGAGGCCAGAGGTACCACAAAGTTACCTTTTAAATTGCTGGGGGGAAACAACCTCGACAAAACAGTGAATAAAGGAATCCTCTATGAACGCCAGCAAAATAGAGACATTGTCGGATTAATGGAAAATAGAAGGATTGCCACTCGCTGAACTGCTGTGAAAGAAATGCTACAGAAAGTTCCTCAGGTGAGAGGGACCCAAACTAGAGAGACACTGCGCTTTGGGCTAAACTTAAGAAGAGCAACGGAAATGGTAAATTTCTGTGGAACATAATTGACTATTTTCTCCCCTTAAGGTCTTTAAAATATTTGTGATGGTTGAAAGCAAGATTGTTAATACTGTCTAATGGGGTTTTCAATGCACAGAGGTGGGATATGACAAGCACAACATAATGGGGGAAATGGACGGGAGCTGAAGGGAGGCAAGGCTTTTGCATTGCTTTTGAAGTGGTAAAAAGTGGTAAAATAGTAACTCTAAGTAGACCATGGAAGGTAAGTGTGCTGTTTAAATCTCCAGAGCAATCACTAAAGTCAGTAAAAACTAGGTGCATAAAGTTGAAAATAGATTTTATGTATAATTATAAAAAGTATAATATTATGTATATCTGCCTATATATAATTATAAGTATACATGTAGTAAAAATTCAATATATAAATTACATTTATGCATCTAGGAAAAATTCAAATAATATAAAAGCAAGAGGGAAATGGAAGAAGCAAAATACAACTATTAAAATAGCAGACCTAAATCCAAGCATTTCAACATTTACATTAAATGAGAATGTCCCAAACACGCCCATTAAAAGCCTAACTACCAGAATGGATGATAAAAGAAAAGACCCAATCATATGCTATCTTTAAGAAATCCACTTTAAATAAATAAAAGTAAGTTTTAAAACATAGGAAAACACATACTATGCAAACACTAAAGAAAAACTGAGTGACTTTATTAATATCAGTATAGACAAAGTATATTTCAGAGCATGAAAATTTACCTGATATTAAGAATAATACTATAAAATATAGTATTGATAAAGGGACATTTTATCAAGAAGATTAAAAAAATCCTAAATGTGTGTATACTGAACAACAGAGCTTTGATATAAATGAAGCAAAAACTGGTAACATTGAAAGAATAAATGGAAAAATGCATAATTACAATAGGAAATGTCAATACTGGTTTCTCAATAATCAATACAAAAACTAGAGAGAAATTCAGCAAGAAATAGGGTTGCTCAGTTTCGGCTCTATGGCCATTTGGGGCCAGATACCTCTTTGTTGTTGGCGGGGGTGGGGCACTGATGGGAGGGGGGCCTCTCCTGTGACTGTAAGATGTTTATCAACAGAAGGTCAGAAGGCTCTACCCGGGAAATGCCAGTAGCTCTATACTACTAATAACAATCAATAATGTCTCTAAATATCGCCAACTGTCCACTGAGGGCAAAATTGCCCCCCTACTCCCACCATGAGAACCACCAACATAGAAGAACTGGACATTACCGTCAACTGACTGGATCTAGTTGACATGTGAAAACACTCTACTAGCAAGAGAATACACATTCTTCTCAAGCACACATACAGCATTCGCAATTCTAGACTATCTTTTTAGCCACGAAGCAAACCTTAACAAATATAAATGAATTAAATGAGCAATATCAGAACTATAATTGGAAAAAAATCTCCAAATAATTAATTTAAAAAACATTTACAAATACTTCATGAGTCAAAGAAATCTCAAGGGAAATTAGAAAAAATATTTTAACTGAACAAAAATGAAATAGAACATATCAAAACATGGTATGCAACTAAAGCAGTGATTAAAGAGAACAGTATGGTTTTAAGTGTTCATACAAAGAAAATTTTAAAAATCAATAATATAAATTTCCACCTTAGGAAACTAGTAAAGAATAACAAAATAAACCTTTAGCATGCACAAGGAGGAAATAATAAAGACAAGAGCAGAAATAAAAAGGAGTAAAACCAAAAGGAGAAAGACAATGGAGAAAATCAGTAAAACTAAAAGATGGTTCTTTCAAGGTTAATAAAATTGATAAATCTCTAGTCAGTCTGACAATGGAAAAAAGGGATGCCAAAAATTATTAATATAAGTAATTAAAAAGAGGATATGACTAAAATCCCACAGACATTAAAGGGATGATTAGGGAATAATACAAACAACTCTAGAATAAACTTTAAAGTTGACCACAAACTAATCTCACTCATGAAGAAATAGAAAACCCATAAAAATCTATATTGATTAAAGAGACTGAATTTATAGTTGAAAGCTTCCACCAAAAACTCTAGCCTCTGTTGTAAATGCTTCCCTCCATGTCCCGCGTGGTTCAGGGTTCAGGATCTGGAAGAGGAGCCGCACACAAATGAAAGAGAAAAGACAAGAGATAATTTGGGAATATTGGGGGACCAGGCGGGTAAGTCCAACTCAGGAGGAAGGACTTCCACCCGTGCTCAGGCCGGCACCGACCTTTTATAGTCAGAGGTAAACAAGGCAGTGGTCACCATAGTTACACAGTTCTTGTGAGTTTCACCTGTTTTGACCATAGTTACACTTCCTGCACTTCCCTCAGCCCATTAGCCTCCCAGATAAGATCTAGGGAGTGTTATAAGTATTGGCAAATTTTACCAAATATTTAAAGATGACAACAACAATTTTTACATGATCTTTTCAAGAAAATAGAAGAAGGAATACTAGTAATTCCTAACTTATTTTTCTGAGACCAGCGTTCTAAAAAAAGAAAACTACAGAGCAATATCCTTGAACAGAGGCATAAAAGTCTTCAACCAAATTGATAAATTCAATCTAGCAATATATAAAAAGAA